ATTTTTAGTGATTTAGTAATACTTTATGCATTGATGTAATTAAAACAATACAATGGCCAAAGCAGATACAAGGATATGAGCAAAATTTGACACAGACAACAGATCTTCCTGTAGCGAGTACCAAAAACAAAAGCTTTATGACATGCAGAGCAAAGCACATACCCATTCGTCCATCTTGTGGAGGACTGATTAATGACAGTCTGGGGACAGTGTTAGGCTGAGAAACACAGAGAGAAACATCACAAATCATGACTTTTTATATGCTATTTTTCAACACTCTTATTCTTTATGTACTAACATCTTAAAGTAAATGTCAACATGCTGTATAATGTTGACAGAGCTCATAAAATACATATTTATTTCATAGATGAAATGGAGGGTGAAATAATGAAACTTACTTTCCTGAAAAGACTTCTTTCATCCACTTCCATGTTTTCAGCGCTGCAAGACAAGAGAGCACACTTCATTCGTCTTGTTAGCCAAGTCTCTTGATATTATGCTTTGGTTCTCTAAATGAAACCTTGCGAGAGAGAAGAAAGCACTTTATAATTAAAATGTATTATTCCTATTAAAATTATAACTTTTCATGAGCAAACAAAGCATAAATTTACTTTTTAAATCAAAAGTGAATTGACCCTACAGGCTCCACAGTAATACTGCAAATATCCGCAATACATCATGTATACTGCTTTCACTCAGTAGAAGAGTCTCACCGGATAAAACAATAATTGTATTATTAAACTCAAGCAGTCAATCAAACCTGTGTCAACGGTGCCTTGGAAACCCAATAGAGAATCCTGACTAAACCCAAGTGAAGCTTAGCTTATTCAGTGGTGTGTGTGTTTAGATAGCCGCAGGGCAGGGCAATTGGGACATTGGGACTGAACCTGGGATATAGCTTGTTTGCACTGTGAAATACCTTCTACATTCTCTCCCCCCTGCTCTTATGGTGAAAAGTAATGAAGGGCAGCATAAAATGAAACAGGGATTGAGATGGGTGAAGAGATTGCAAATCAAAGATGAACATAGAAAAAGGTTAAAGATGTTCAGAGATACAGTTAGTGAGGGACAATACTCACACATTAGTTGATGAGGAGTGTCTTGAGAGGGACATGGAAGAGTTAAATGGGATATGTAGGACTAAGCCCAAACAAGAAACAGAAACACAACATTAACAACCACTGTATATTATTGATGATGAGATATTAGTGGTTGTGCTGTGGTTTAGTGATATGGCCACAAAGATGTGACTTGAGGCAGTTTTATGGTCAGTCAGCGGCCTAATTGCAAACAGTGTCACTCCAGTTTCTGGTCTTGCTACATAAACCTGCTAACTTTGGCTTTTTCAGCCACTAGCCCATCCTGCATTTTCTTACTAGTTTTACAAAAAGGGTTTTGTGGGACAAACATAAAGCAACAAGTAGTAGTCTTGACGGGCCAGCCTAAAACAGAACAATTCTTAATGTTATCTAAAACTTGTCTCTTTCTTGTCTCTTTCTTGGTCTACAGTGTCGCCTATTACAATCTTTGGTTGGAGTTATAACAATTATATCACAATTTTAGTAAAGCTTTGACAAATTTACATTTCCTCCTTTTCCTAGTATGTTTCAAAAGGACTGTACTGAGTGATCGAAGTTATGTCACATTTAACTCTTACTATGAACAACAACAGTATGAAGAATACTGAATGGGAGCTGTTTTGTGTTTTTGGTTTCTTGACTTGGACACGAAGCCCATTTGGACTCAGTCTTGACTTGACCTGGTCAGACTTGTCTTGTACTTAAGGTTTCTGGTCTACTGCCATGTTTTAAGTGGAGTACAATATAATCCTGTCCATTAATAATAATGTTAATTTTCTTCATCGCCATTATCAGTTTGGATCAAGGCAATGATGTACAGTGAACAAAATGTTAGCAGGATATATTAAACAGGTATTCAGGTATAACACGTTGACTAATACATCTATGTATAATGAGTGCAGAGTATAAAAATAAAATTACAGCATTTATAGACATGTGAATGGCAGTTAAGGGTGTTTCAGACTGAACAGGTGCCATACTCTACATCTGTCACAGAGGCCAACCAATACAAAATTGACATTTAAATGAGATTGTTGTTTACCTGATTTACGTCCATGTGGAGTGTGAGGACTGTGACCCATCTGTGACTGTGAAACCTTAGCACTGGGGTGAGAACAGTAATAAACAAGGTTAATCACTACCAACAAAACAGACATAGCTGCTTTTAACATAGTTGTCGGTGTGAATCCTACAATGAGATGATGACTCTTTGTACTTTAGAGAACATTTTAAAATGACTTAGATGCAGTACTCAAATTATAAGTGAATGATATAGAGTTCTATGAGCCAACATATTTTCTAAAACTGCAGGCTATAATATTGATTATATTATTGTTATTAACATTTTTGAAAGGCAGCTTTTCTGCCCTTTGTAAAAAAAAAAAAAAAGAACAACTTTGAACTAATTCGGGGTTGTGGTTGCAGCAGGCCAGGAGTAGATGTGCCAGGAGTGACACCTAGAGAGAGGTGAGGCATAACAGTCGGGTAGTTGAAAATAACTTTATATGCTAAGGTGCTGCCAAACTCAAAGAGGTACACACCACCACCGTTTAATTCCAAATCATTAAAGGTTTCTCTACATCCAGAAATCCCAATTTAATGTTATTTTAGAGTTTTATTTTATGAGCATGATCACTGATGCATGACCACGCAGTACCACATATGATGTTTAAATCCTGTGTGAATGAAGGATGCTACAAAGATCATCTACAGAATGGGAAATTAAAATGAAACATGACCCAAATGCTTGTTGGCTAACACTTTGGAAAATAAAATATAGTTTTCAGGATAGTCTAGTTTGTGGAACAACTAAATACTGGATAATTACACAACATAATGGCTGTTAAAGTAGGCAAAGATTCCAGCTACAGATCAAATATACAAGCATTAACAAACTAATTGCCCTATAAATATTTTAAATAGAGGTCTCAAATCTTGGAGAATGATACAATTGTAACACATGAGCAATACTTATAATGGGTTACTCATATTTTAATATCCCATTACCAGAACATCAGCATCTGAATCTAATATGATAGTATTTAAGTATCTACTCTAGGCTGTACCTCTGATGCTGAAGAGAGTTTTCCAGCTTAGTAATGTAAGCGCTCTGTTCATTCAGCTTCCTTTAAAGAGAAAGAAATCATTATTTTTCATAAACTGCAGTTTAGATGTATGTATGAAAATGCATTATAAACGTATGCTTTAACTAACTTTGCCATCTGCTGCATTTCTTGCTTCATCTTGACTAACACCTCTTCTAGTTTCTCATTCTGTAATAGATAAAATGGTTAGTGATGCACTTGTACAACAGGTTTGACAATATTATACTTTCAGTAGTGTTTATATCTATTTTAGTAGGCAACAAATAGAAGTGGAAACTAATTAAATCATACTTTCAACATGGTTGGTGGGTTAAAAGAATGTATGTCACACTGGTTTACTCCAAAGCAAAATTAATAATAGAATAACACTGAACCTCAAAAATATTGCCCATTACCTGTCAAATTAAGAAAAGCAAACTCTCAAAGACACAAACATACACACCAACAAACGTCCACAGCAGCAACATAGATATCTCTCACCCTTTGCTGGTAGTAAGTCAATAGTCTCTTTTGATGTCTTGCCTGGAACATTATAACCTGAAAAAAGGGAAGAGGCCGTGTTGAGTGGAGTCTGCAATAATAAATAATATACAAATACATATATAACTCTGCAAAACAGCCATTTAAGGAAATCATTTTAAAACTGACTTGGATTTAAATGCTGAACTGATATAAGAACAGTTACTAAGACTGTGAAGCTAGAAAATGACCAAACTTTGCTGATTTCCGTCAGATGTTTGTTTGCCACAACGTTGATGTCGGAAAACAGAGCCTTCACCTCTGAGCTGCTCTGAAACAAACACATTTCACATGACTACAACAACAGTAGGATTGTAAAATGATGTCTGTCTGTCTGTTTCTAAAGTTGTAAAGTGTGATGTTATCCCACCAGAGGATGTCATTTAATGATAAGAAAGGTGCTTACTTTGTCAGTGACAGGTGATACTTGGCATTTGGCGTTGCATATTAAACACTTGTCTTGTTTGCCTGGAAGAAAAGTTGCACTTATATATGGACAAAATCACAAAACAATGAATTAAATGGATAATCATTCTAGGTTCACTGACATGTAGGATGTAGACTCTAAATCCAATAAAGAAATTGAACAAAAAGGGGTTCTCAAAGTGCTTCTGCCTGAGTCCCAGAATTAATTAAGCGTAACCCCTGGGTCTAACCCTGGAAGCCAGAGCAAATTATAATATCAAGACTAGACCCATCAGGAACAGACTAATTCCTTTTGAAATATGATCAGTGGCTCCCAAAGTGGGACCAAGGCACCTCCAGGAGTACTTCAAGATGTCCCATATCTAATGTTGAATGGTGTAATTTCACTCTTATTTAATTTGAGGATATAAAGAGAAGCACCCACTGACAGCATGACTGGATCCGAGATTTCACTCTCTCTGCTGTTACAAAACAATAGCCAAGAACAATATCAAACCTTTTGCCACAATAAAAATGTAGCTCTCCCGGGGGAAAATGTATTCAATGGGTCACTCATTTGTGTCTTTTGAGAGGGCTTAGGCACGAAAATGTTTGTTAAGAAGCACCGGGCATGAGTACATCTGGTTTAAAACATCAGTAAGACATCAGTTCTGCAATTTCACTTTAAGTCCAACAGATGTCCCTGTCTAATCACGCTTTCACACAGCCTGGACAAACAGGCATGGTACAACTGAAGTTGAAATTTGGAGCTGTTCACCTAAATACATCCAAATGTTCCTAACAGTGAATGTATTGACTGTTGTTAGCATCATAAACATTTTTCTACCTTTCTGATAACAGACACCACAGATGACATGGCCGCAGGTTGTAACAGCAACCTTTCTGGCAGCACTGGGGGAAAGGAAGCAGGAGTTGCAGCACATCCAGTAAGCCATTTGAAGACCTGCAAGAAGATAAGGTTAGTTAACTTTGCTAACTCGTTGTTGCTAGGAGTTACGCTTGTTGACTGAGTTTACAAATTTAGCCAGGTATTACAGTTGTCACATTTATTGAGTGTTGTGAAACACCTTGTGTATTTGTTTTACGTTTAGGACAACTTTATAACATGGCTAACCCATTCTTACAGTTAGGTAGATGTGGGTTTGTTACGTTACCTAGGATATCCCGCTGCAAGTGAAGCTAAATGCTAACTTATAGCTAGTGTTAAGTTAGCTAACCAACAGATCTGGGGCGTGGGAGCCAACTGCTTTACGTAACCACAGACGTGGGTGTCCCTTTGTTAGTTAATTATCTTAACTAACAAAGCTATTATATAACATTTTATATGTATATATTATGCATTAATGACTACTATAACTGTTTAACTGCTCTGCTTTATAGGCTATTTCCTATAACGCCAACAAAGACGTCCTTTTTTCATTCATTTTAAGGAACCTTAGTTAAAATAATCTTGAAAATAACGTTATCATAATATAACTAACGTTAGTTAGCTTGTAACGTCATATAACGTTATCTATACAACTGTTAGATGAATTATTGAAAGTTACATATTTGAAAATAAGTTATTCATAAAATCAGTTGTTTAATTAATATTGCTTATTGTTTCAAAAGGGAAATAATCAGAATACAATTCTTCAAATCATTTTTATTATTTTTTTATTCAGTGTTGTTGTGTGGGCAATCCTGATAAACATTGTTCATATTATGCTTATTATGCTTTGTAATGGGGCCAAACAGCAAACAACATTTTCTAAAAAATCTCAAGACCTTACACTTATTTTCGCCATACATACTTTTTAATCCTATATCCCATGTCTCTGTCACCACCCGCTTGGCAATAAGAGGAGAGTGCTTTTACTTTTGAAGCGATACAGACATAAAGTATACTTGTTGCAGACTACAGTATAGACACTGGGACAAGTATGGCCAGGACATGCTATAAGGTCACTGTGTAGATCTGACAGGTCAGGGGTCATCATCAGACCAGCTTCTTGGCGATGAAGAAGTCTTTGAGTCGTTTCATCTGCCAGAAACCGACCGAAAGCAGAATAGAGGTCTGCACCACGGCCCACCATAGAACTTTACTGTTGGTGTCCTCACTGATCTGACGAAACACCTCCTCTTTCTCCTGAATGAGTAGGGAATATAAAACATAAGAGAGACATGAAATCTGACATCCTTTTTTAAGGCCAGAAGAGATGGCATGTGATATGATTCATTTCAAGCCACAGCATAGCCTACCTTTTCCTCTGAGCTCTCTGTTGTGCGATGTACTCACATGTACTGTCACATCATGCGATTGTTATGTCTGCAGACAGTAAAATGCTTATTTACCCTCTGGTACTCCTGATGCCTGGTGATGTACATCATCTGATCTATGAGGTGACTGAGGCTGTTCTCCAGAGTTTCCATGTTGTCTTTGGTCTTTTTAGTGTTGGGGTCAATCGAGTGCTCTCCCATCTGAACGTCCAAATGTACCTTCTGTACAGCACAATGGACGAAAACTATTGATTATTTTCAAAAGTCTGTGACTAGTCTGCTCTCAATTGACAGACTTGACTTAGTGTGTGATATAATATTGTAATTCTGCAAGACTGTATGTGTTGCTGCATTTTCCCCTCTGTTTTAAATGCATTTTGTGTTTGTGTCCATAGGTCTCACCAGCCTCTCTTTAGCATAGACAGCAAAGCTTGTGGAGTTGGTTTGGAAGCAAAGGTAGTGCTGACCAGAGGCGTGAGCTGTGAAGGTGAATTTACCAAATTTACCATAGCGTTTGTTCATCAGAACCTAGAGAGCAGGAAAGTCACTGTTAGACTAACATTTCTTCAGCTTTGGGTCAATAAAATGAAGATGCCGTTTTCATTCTATTAGTTATTTTTTGGTTGGTCAAGTGCCAAAGAAGAGGAACTGATGCATTAGTATATGAAAAGGATAGCTGATAGATTTTCTCATTAATGGCTGTTTGGCATTGCAAAACAAGTTTGCGATGAAACTCTGAAGGATTTCTTTCATATTGGGACCACATCATTAGGCAAAAAGCTGAACTGAAGGTGTAATACAATACTGTTATAAAACAATAACAGAGAAAAAGGCTTATGCTGTAAGTATTTCTCATCAATCAAACCATACAGTGCTAACCTTCAGTAACACTGTGTTAAATGTATTTTGTCCTTGTTTGGGTTTGGTTTGAACAGAGAAACCAGCCAGCACCTGTTTTTAATGTACCACCACCACACACAAGTCTGTGTGACCCTGGCTTGGTGATAAACCTCTTCTGTGAGTGCAGTACCTCATGGTTTGGGTCTCTGACTGTCACAGTGATGCCGAGATGAGGGGAGTTGGTTAATGTCTTCAAATCCCAAGGCTCCAAAAAGAAATAACCTGAAGGTAAGACACACATTTACATTTACATTTACATTTACTCATTTGACAGACGCTTTTATCCAAAGCGACTTACATTTGAGGAACAACATACAAGCATCAACAGAGCATCAACTACAGATCTACAACTGACAATACATACTAGTAAGAGCAGCAATAAATACTAGTATTCACAAACACAGTCACTCACAGTAATAGTAAAAGTTATTATCAAGCTTGTGCTGTAACAACATCACAGGATTAGACTGAACATGAAGAGGGAATATAAATTATGTTATATTAGGATTTACATTACAATTCATAATAATCAATGTTTATACATAGTATAGTAGTTCATATATACGTTCCTTGACATGTTACTGTTAAAACAAATGTCACCCAAGTACACAAACTATTTTTTCTCTCCATCCCTCATTGTATGACTAATTGTAGGATATATTTAGTACTTGTGAGTACAATTAGTGGAGTGCACAGTGAATAAATGCTCTTTACATTTTCATGGCTAAGCACAGAACAAATCAGTTTTCACAAAGACTCGACTTAATAGACAGTTTGGAAACTATAAATGGCTTTTGCACTTGCTGAAATAAGAGACATACTATCATGGAAGTACATATAACTTTACTGAATGATTCAACTATCACATAGCAATTCACAATACACTTTTCAAAATCTAATTCCACATTCATGACTTCTGTTGAGTTGTAAACGACACTCAGGAGGAATATTCCCTCCCAAGGACTCACCGGTGACCAGCAGGTCTTCAGGAATCTCCTCAATGATGCATTTTTCCTCCTGTGCTCCGAGATCAAAATACATGGCTGCTGCCAACATCAGGTAACACTGGAGGACAAAGGCAATGCCTCGCAAACCCATTTTCAGTTAACAATGAGCTATTAAATTACAATACACTTGAGAGTGACGGAATATTTGGCCTGTAGTTCCAACTGACTTATTTTGTAGATCTTCAAATTCTAACTCAAGATTGAAGTACTTTTCATCGACTATAAATTTTCATTGACTATAGACAAACACCGATGTCCTATAGCAAATATGTAAAGTGGAAGGCTGTAAGGGACCCAGTTTGAGTGTGTGAAACTCACAGGTGCTGTTTGTGTGACGAGACATTCTGGTCATTTTGTGACTGGTTACCTGGGAGCCAATAGCAAATCTGCAAAGAATAGGGACTGATTGGGACCGACCATTTGCAACAGATACATCCAACTGTGTGCTTATAATACACCAACATGAAGTGTAGGAGTAGCATCATGACCTATCTGTTCCACAAATCCATGGAACAGATTTTCTATTGCTATATTATATTATAGAGCAAATATACACCAATTACTGTTATAATGTAAGAACTTTGGTACATGCTATTAAACATGTTAACGTTGCAGTAGACTTATTTAATGCTGTGGTTTATTTCCACCACAGGGCCAACTGCCTACTCTGCATTTACCACACTAAATTGAAAGTGATAGATGCTGAGCTGTGCCCTAAGGGATAAATTGCTAGCTATCAACAAGATACAAGAAGAACAAGTAACATATCCAAGAATGTGTTTATTGTGCCTTTAGGGTACTCTAGGGTGAGAATATGTATGAGCAAGCAGTACTGTAGTATTGTGGTTAATCCTGAAAAATGAAAAAAGTTTAACTTTTTCAACCTTTTAAGATGTAAGGATTACCAATTCCACAGTGTGTGTTACTACAGTATGAAATCTTCCTGCAAATTGTTAAACCATTACATACAATAGTTGCCACGTGCTTACCTTAGATGAGGTCACTTATAAAGAAAACCCCCCACTCACAGTATAAACCCATCTCATATTAACCATCTGCAAAAGTTGTTATTCCTCTAAGTAAGCAAAGAATCAGAGTTCCTTCTCCTCCCACACTTCAGTAGTTTTACAGAAACTGAATACTAAATCGCTACATTAAATAGACGTGCCATTAAAATAATAGATTCAGTTTTAAAGATTGATATTGTGCCTGCAAAATTCTGTCTTTGTACTTTGTAATATATTCCAAGACATATCTTATAAATACAATCATTAATAATGTGCAATTTACTGTGAACCACATAGTGCTACCTATCACTCAGTTAGTTCATGCAGCACTTCCTTCTGCCTTTTTAACACATTTTTCCTGTGGCAAAAGTTTTGATCTGGTTGTTTGTTGCATATTATAATCATTAATGCATGTGGTCATGTATATCCTGAGCATACCAAAAGAAATTCCTAGAGACCTGGTTGGTATGGCGGTAAAATCCTGTGTTGTGTACACATGCCATAATGTTTTCTTCAGCATATAGTCCTGTATGTAGGGTGTACTGTACTTCTTTAGTCTTACCTCTCTAAGTATTAGTTGATGAAACTGCTGGTAAGGAAAGAAACTGGATCTGCTCCACTCCACTCCTGTTTCTCCTGATTCTCTGCCTCTGTCATTTTCTTCTCCCACTACCTTCAAAACAGAAGGAGCGCCCTCATGCACCAGATGTTTAGTTCTTATTGCTGTTCAATCTGTCATCTGCAGTATGGTTTCTGTGTTGGTTGGTAGGAAAGGGGAGGGGGTGGTCGTAAGTGATTTCATATGTTTTACAAAAGCCACTGTCGTTCATAAAAGAAGCAAACTCTCAGTCGGTTTCAAATTGTGTCGCCTTCAACCAGGCCAGAAACCTTTTCTGAATAAAGGTCACTTTATGTATAACTGGTGTCTGTTCTGCCTATAAAATGGGACTCCTGCTTCAAACTGGGATGTGTTGCACTGGACGTTGGAGCCCAAAGTAAGCTCTGAGAGATTTCAGGCCTCGTGATCTAAATCAACATTTGGTGAACTGTTTTAAATAGTTGGTGAGCACGTCACCCGTTTTATGACCAACACCTCATCAGGGCGAAATCCAGCCAACACCGGGGCTTGAACCCAGGTCATCCCGTTAAAAGCATTTCTCTCTACACTCAATTTGATCCTGCAGCCCCAGTGTTAGTAATAATACCTTGGGAGCCCAAATGTAAGTAAACCCAAATGTGTGATTGAGATTTAAAGGTCACTGGAGGTCAACATTGCACTAAGCAGAGGTAGTAAAGACAGGTTTCAATCCATATCCTTGAAAACAATTTTACTCAAAAGTTATTGTGATTATGTGAAGGAAATAAGACTACAAATATACGCAATGTAGTAACCTTCAAAATAGACCACCCCTTCCATGAATAAACAGTAATCAATGAGGACACAATATCTAGATATTTTTACACTTTATTGTCCAAACGAAAAACATACATTTTTTTGAACATTTTTTGTGTTTTTTTTTTTTTTTTACAAAAAACATATATTCTGTATTGAACTAATATAATAACATAAAGGAATACAAGTTATTACTTTCAGATTTTATATACTGTACACTACAGGTTAAAATCCTGTAAATAAATATATTCTTTGCCTTCAGGAAAACAACCACAGTGTCTCCGTAAACACTATGCTTTGAATGGGGCATAGTTTAATTAACTGTACATTAATTTCTATGTCTGACTCAATTCCCTTGAATGAGGATTTTAGATCTTAAGTATCATTTATATAGATTTCTTTCCAAATCCGCTAAATGAAAGCTGCTTGGAGTTTTGATCCACTGTGGGCAAGCAAATGTCTGTCTTCAGAAATGTCAAACCAAACCCAATTAGAATGTGAAAATGTGTTTTCAGTTAATAGTTATGTTTAAAACATAGCCATTGTTCTCTCCTCAGACAATTGTGATAATCTGCTAAAACTGAATTGGTGTCTAATAGCTACCTTGCCAAACTACACCATTCTAGGGCTATCAGATCTATCAATGTGACTTGAGGATGAGAATTTTCTCCCAATTTAACAGTCAGACAATCTAACACAGTACATTAGTCGTTGCAATAGAAAGAGGATGTGACCAGGAAGGAAAAAGGGGACTCCGGCTCGTCATAGTTATGCCTCATGTGAATACACTGCAGACCTTTTTCTGTTGTTTCTCTGTCTTCTTCCTTTCCTCCCTTTCCTGGTTTTTCTTTCTTTTTTCTCTATCCTCTCTTTCCTTTCTTTCTTCTCCCTCCTTCCCTGGCCTAGTCATAAACAGTTGTCAGGGAAGCACTTCCTGTCTTCCTCCAGCAGGGGGCAGGCAGCTCCATTGTTGGCTGGGTGCATTAGGATGTAGCGTGTGCGGTGCTGCACGCCTGAGTCACCACACTTGCCTTTGCACAAGCCCCAAGGAGACCACAGTGACACCTCACAGTCCAGAGGGGTATCTGCAGCGAGAGGATAGGCATTATAATCACATTAATATTTTTAATGCTGGCTAGCTCTTGCATGGGATTCTTACCTCCTCAATATACTGTATTTATTATGTGGAAGTGGCAAATGGTTGACATTTGTGAGTGGAAATTTGAGTTGACTTTTTTGTACTTTTTTTTTAATGGAAAGGAGAGGGGTTAGTCATAATAGGGAAAGTCACTGCTATTCAACCCTAATTTGTCTTTTAAAAAAGTGAATAAAATAATTAAAGGAAATTACAAGAAATGGCGGCATGCTGTCCGGGTAGCTCTTTATGAACCCATAGTTTCTCGTTGTAGATTCTTGGCAGTGGTTGTGATGCTGGAGTTTAATTGTGACTGGATTTTTTAACCTTCATTTATTGAGTGAGTTTTTGCTGACTGTGCTTGCTCTTTGTCAGCAAAGCCCCGACTCACAGTGAAACAGTGTTACCATTGGCACCAAAGGGAGCTGCCTTTTTCATTCATTTTTCAGCTCCCTATCTCCATCACTGGGAACTTACCGGCCAGCCAACCTTGTTGTAAGCTTGCATACAGCTGATATGTATCACAGACTTAGTTGTCAGTTAAAGAGTAGAAAAGCAGAAGGATGGGAGGCGGTACGGAAGCTACATGGATGGACGCTCTGATGGAGGGACGGAACAAGCAAGTCAAATGTCATCTTGTGTATCCATTATGGACAGAGGGAAGGATAACATTAAGTGCTGTAAGAAGCAAAGCTGATTGATCTAATTAACATCGGTGTTGTATTCCACAGATGTAATCTAGAGCAGGTGATTGCTAAGCTTTAATGAAAGCTGTTCAAACCTTGGGCAGAAGGAATAAAAGAGATGGAGGGATTAATGGAAGGAGGGAAAGATAAACAGATGGAAGGGCAGGATGGGGATCGAGATTCTTGGCACTGCTCTGTTGTTTGTTGATAGGTAGTCAGGGGAACGGACTTGTAGTCTGTGATGCTGAGTCAAACCTTTACAGTCACCCTGAAAACTGAATCTGGTTACAGCACTGTCTACTGCCAGGTTGACACACTAACCACCCCCCACCCATAAATATTTAGTTTTTCTGTGGTGAATTGTGTTTCTATAAAAGGTTATTTTTCCCCTCCTTGTCATACTGGAAAACATCAGTCTCACAGACCTTGTTTGACTTCTGCTTCGTTGGCTTTATTTGTAGTTTGACACTCTCTTCATCTTTATTTTTCCAAGCCGTCTTCCTATTAATTCTTGCAGTGGTTTGGTTTTGTTTTACTGTTACCACTGATCTGTACAACAGACAGTCTTAAAGTTTAACAGTCTGGGAACCAAAATTAAATAAATCCAGCTTTACCATATATGTCTAGATCTTGTTCAAATTTGCATGTCTACATCCTATTTTGGGTCACCACCCCAACGTTGCTGTACATAATTTCTACGTAGTTTTCTTAAAATGCTCTTTCACTTTGTCAGTCTCTCATCTTTAGACTGCCAGATGGTCCCCTGGCGTATTCTGATGTCCTACTCTCATTAGGCTTCTCTTGTTTCTGGTTGGAAGTAATTGAGTTTGTGGGTGGCCTGTAATGGTTCCCAAATGCTTTTGTTTGAGTCAGCAAAAGACTTAGACCCAAGCGCCTAGCATTGAGTGAAATAAGTGTATATTATTCGGTCAGTGCAAGTGGAATGGAGAGAGGCAGCTTAGGGTAGGAATGGTGGATTCAAACCTGCAGTATTGCAAGAACATAATTTACACATTATGATCTTACTAATCTCTATTTCAGCATATTATACAGCATCGCCCGTTTACAAGCACATGTGCATACTTGTAAACATTGCTCCATAGCACTACAAGTGGTCAAATACTCAAATACAAAAATAACTTCAATCGTCAAGAAAAAGGTGTTCCTCAGACATACTTATGAGCTTGTCCTCAATCTCGTTTCCTGTTGGCAGTTGGTTGGACTGGGTGGGCTCCACAGGCAGGCTGATGATCTGATTGGTCTTCTTTATCTTGGTCAGCATTACCTTGGCAATGGGTGGCAGGTGCTTCAAGCGGGGGTAGAAAAATGAGTTTGCAGGGTGGCTAGGGAAGGAAGAAGTGATCTGTAGAGGGGAACATAATGGTTCATGTATAT